GGCAGCGCGCGCAGTACAGACCCGCACTCCGCAGCCGGCCCGCCCGGCCCTCGCGCCGGAAGTGACGTTCGGGCGCGCGAAGGCGGTGCCCACCCGGGAGTGCGCTCGAGTGAACGCGGCGGCGTTGCTTGGCTCTGTCCCCACCTGGTGGCCCCGGCTGTGCAACCGGGTGTGTTGACAGGGGAAACTGAGACCTGGAGGAGAAAAGCAGCTGCTTCCCTAGAACATACTGCCGCAGCATGCCTAGTGTTTGCATCATTTTCTCTTCAAATTGTCCTGTTTTTGCAAATCCCCTGCTTCCCGACAGGGAAGAGGCAGAGGTGCTGTAACCGGCTTCAGACCAAGACCTCAGAATCTGCATTCCAGAACTCCTTGGCCTTCCGCTGACATTGTCCAATGCCAGTACACCATCAGCTGAGCCATTTTGACGCCTAGCCTCCTGGTGTCAGTTCTTCATGAATAGCACGGTTCTTACCCTGGACCCCAACTCAGTAACTACCTGTTTCCTGCTTTGGGGCTCACGAGGTTGTCTCCAGACAGCCATAGTTTGAAAGGGAGTTTACTAGCTCCATGCCTGGCCCATTAACTACCCTCACTACATGCATATCCCTGTTTTGTACAACTGTAATTTGGGGGCAAATCTCTGAGGTTCCTCATTCAGGTACGATAAGGACAACAAACCATTTCTGGAAAAATTCTGGTGGTCCAAGAGAATGTCAGAGCCAAAGGAATAACCTTAACTCACCTCTTCCTTTCCCTTCCTTATGGGTAAGAGGAGTCTTAGGGTTGTGGGAAGGGTCCGGGAGGGTTGTAAGGACATCAGGTTTTGCCAGATGCCAAATTGTCTGCGGGGGTGAGTGGGGGGTAGAGGGGAGTGTGAAGTGGCCTGGGAATCCTGAGTTGTGTTTATCTGTTTGTTTGTTTTTAGTATAGGGTGTCGTTACATAGACCAGGCTGGCCCCCAACTCACAATCCTGGTGCCTTTATCTCCTGAGTACTGGGCCTATAAATGTGTACCAGTCACCCCATGTTGCAAGTCGTGAGACTTGTGATCCTAGGTTCTCTCCAATCCCCAACTTCTAGGTTGCCAAATAAAATATAGAACACTCAGTTAAATTTGAATTTCAGATAAACAGAAGTCTATTTTTAAGACAACATGTCTTATGTAACATTTTGGTCTCGCTCAGACTTTGGAAACTGTTGTTTCTCAGAAACCCCAATTTAAATTGGTGTCCTGTTGCTCCCCTCACCGCAGATCTAAGGATTAGTTTCAAGTTCCTCCTACAGCAAATCACTACAGGGTGACTGGAAACAACACAAATGGGTTTTCTTGCCCTACTAAAGATACGAGGGAGTCGGTATCTTTTACATCCTCTCTGGGTACTTGTGGAGGCTTGTGGTATTACTCTGTCCGTGGCCTTCCCCACATCGCTGCACCATCTTGTTTCGGCTCTCACAGCTACGGATGAATGACTCCTAGCTCCTTCATGAACGTGCGCGCGCGCGCGCGCGTGTGTGTGTGTGTGTGTGTGTGTGTGTGTGTGTGTGTAGGAGGGAGGGTGGGTGTGTAGGGGAGGGTGGGTGTGTAGGGGAGGGTGGGTAGGGGTTTGAACTCAGACCATTGTTTATGCTAGCCAAATGTTTTACTGCTAAACTACATAAGTCTTTTAAGAATTGGCAGAAGGGCTGTTTGTTTGTTTGTTTGGGGTAGTGTCTCATAGCCCAGCCTGCTCTGGAACTTGCTGTGGTCCAGGCTGACCTCAAACTCTCAGTCCTCCTGTGCCGGTTTGGATGTGCGGGGGTTATAAGTGTGAATGCGCATGTCTCTTCTTTCAGTCATATTCAAATATTTGAGAAATCTGGGCATTGTGGTGCTAGTGTCTTTAATCCCAGCACTTCGGAAGCAGAGGCAGGAGGATCTCTGTGAGTTTGAGGCCAGCCTGGTTTACATAATGAGTTCCAGGACAGCCAGGGCCACGAAATAAAACCTTGCCTCAGATTTTTGTTTTGTTTTTGAGACAGTTACTCAGGTTGGACTTGAACTTCCAAAGCCCCTACCTCAGGCTCCTGAGAAGCTGAGACTATTTCAGTACCCCTCCCATCCTCCTGCCTTAACCTTCCAAGCAGCTGAGAGGATTTCCCCATCACACCCATCCTCCTGCCTCCTACTTAGAACTTTTGCAATTACATTGGGCCCACCTGTTAACTCAAAATAATCTCCCTATCTCAAGAACCTTAATCATGGGGCTGGAGAGATGACTCAGAGGTTAAGAGCACTGACTGCTCCTTCCAGAGGTCCTGAGTTCAATTCCCAGCAACCACATGGTGGCTTACAACCATCTGTAATGAGATCTGGTGCCCGCTTCTGGCATGCAGGCATACATGCAGGCAGAACACTGTGTACATAATAAATAAATAAATCTTAAAAAAGAGAGAGAGAGAGAACCTTAATCACATACAACCTCTCTTTTACCCCATAGAATAGCTGTGAGTTTCAGAGGCTGCGATGAGAGCACCTCAAGGGGCAGGGCATGATTAATTATTCAGCCACCAAAATCTGGTGATCTAATATGACCTTGGCCAAGCCTTTCAAACTCCCAGAGCGTCTAGATCCGTGAGTGCTAATTGTCACCCTGACAGACACTAGAACCACAGGTGAAGTGCCTGTACAGCATTACCTTAGTCATGTTCATTGAACTGGGAAGACTCTACCTGGGACGGTTCCCTGGCTTAAGAAAGGAAGAGTTTATTCTGGTTTTGTAGGAGTATTTTATCCCAACAACAGAAAAGTAACCAACATAGTCTTCCTGGGGGGGAGGGAAGCCAGTTAAATGGTTCGTAAGACAAAAAATAATGAACTTTTCTCAAGCTGAATAGGTGGTTGATCTCTAGCAAAGCTTTGGACCCTGCTGTCCTAGGTGTTGAGATTAAACCCATCTTTAACCCAGATCCAGGTCTACTGCTGGCACTGGGAGCACAGGCTGCAGTTCTAGATGCTAACAGTAGGGGGCGATCAGCGTGGTGAGTATGGGGAACTTTCCTTGTTCACAGTGAATGGTTAGAAATGGAGGAAGGATCTCAGATAAATAAGGCAAGAGCAAGAGTTTTTTCCAGTAGAGCAACTGGATACAGTGAAGCACTGGGCTCTGACCATCTGACTTATGCCTTCTATTAATCCTGTGGACAGCAACAGAGGAGACGATCTCTTACAGAACAGGACATTCCAGTCCAGAAAGCGATGAGACGAGTTGGGTTAGAACTCAAGTCTACGACAGCACAGTGCCAACTTTTACTTTGTCATAGAGGCCATTCACAGTTGGGCTCTGTGGCTTCGGAGGTTGGAGAGCAGGCTCAGATCAAGGAAGGGCAAGACACTGTCCATGATTACAGAACAATTAAGAGATCGAGTAGAGACTTGAACTTCTGTATTCTTTTCTGTCTTGGACACTCAGAAGTAGTAGGCCTGACATATTGCATTGAAAAGACCCATTTCCCCGTGCGTAAAGGAGGGAAGTGAGCCTTGTGTAGAGGAGTGGCGTGTGCAGAGACCTGGCACAATGTGCCTCAGAATGTCTGTTAATGGTGACCACCTCAGAATGTCTGTTAACAGTGACCACCCCACTCCAGAGCAGAAAGGTCATCAAAGGGCAGCAGCTTATCCTGCATCTGGGGTGGAAGGCTGCAAATAGCCTGCTCTCCAAGCTTTGTCCCACCTCCAAAGAAGTAAATCCTGACATTGTTAGTATGCCACTGTGGCTAGGAATGCCTGCGCCGTTTCCAGCTGTATATACTTACAGTGGAATTTTTGGCATGATTAAAGAGACCATTTAAAAATGAAATATATAAGCATATAAATGCAGCTTGCGGATACTCCGACCCTCGTTTCTGAGACAGGGTTTTGCTCTGTAACCCTGGTTGGCTTGGCACTCCCTGTGTAGAGCAGGGTAACTTCAAACTTGCTGCAGTTCTGCCTCTGCCTCCCACGTTCTGGGGTTACAGAGAGGAGCTACCACACCTGGCCACAAATTATACGCTTTCAAAATTACATGTGTTGCTTTTGTGTGTGTGTGTGTGTGTGAGCACACACACATCACCATACTTGTGTGGAGATCAGAGGATGACTTACAGGAGACTTATACCACGTAGGTCCCAGGGTCAAACCCAAGTCAACAGTTATGCGTGCCATGCCTGTCTTGAAATAAGTCCTTTTAAAAATGATTTGTTTTTTTAATTTTCTGTTTGTGGGTGCTTTGCCTGCATGTGTGTCTGTGCACCACTCTCAGAGGCCAGAAGAGGGCACTGGGTTCCCTGGAGCTGGAGCTACAGATGACTGCCATGTGGGTGCTAGGAGAAGAACCCCGTCTTCTGGAAGAGCAGAGTGTGCTCTAAATTGCTGAGCCATCTCTCCCGATCTGAGAAATAACTCTATTGTTTGTTTGTTGTTATTTGAGAATGGGTTTATCTGTGTAACAGAGTCTCTGTAGACCAGACTGGCCTCGAACTCACAGAGATCCACCTGCCTCTGCCTCCCGAGTGCTGGGATCAAAGTGTGCACCACCACAACCAGCAGAAATATACATTTATTTTGACTTTTTGCATC